GGGGTTAATGTAATATGCTCTTTAGACTATATTAATAGCTTACAAACATACAGTAGTAAAGTGTAAAAACCATTCTTTTTATACTTTGTTGATTTCGCACACTATTCTACCTAAAAGATATTCTTATATAAAATTATAAATTTACGATAGTTAAGTGTAAAAACCATTCTTTTTATACTTTATATAGTCATTGTTAGTCCTTTACTACTAATATTTTTGTCTAAACTTTGAATATAGTAGCTAGCTCTTGGTGTAAATTGAATATGGTGGCCAATAAATCACCTTGACTTTCAAATTCGATCAATTCTTGTAACATCTATGGTTCATTAAGAAGTGATAAAATATAAAACCAATCTTAATCGAGGTTAATTTTTACCTTAAACTTTTGATTAAGTTAATTATTTGACATGGTATCAGAACAAACATGATAAGAAAAATAAGTTACAATATCAAATCTCATTCACACCTTTCTGTTGAAAATTTAGCATTGGTTATAAGAAAATCCATATTTAAAGGCTAAAGGCTAAATGGTTTCATTGGAGAGGACGTGATAGAAATATAAAACCAATCTTCAAATTCTAACCATTACTCATAGAGTCATAGTTGATTTTGATTGAGTTGATCTTTGGACAAGAAGCAATAATTTCTCTGAAGTTGAAATATAACCTCTTTAAAATAACATTTTTGCTGGTTGACTAATAATAGGGAGCTCCAGATTTGTCAGAATATGGCGAAGCATATGATCTCGGATTTGGATTAGGAATGGATCAACCACCTACAAGTGCCATTATTAAAAAAGAATTGCAACGGAAAATTTTGTATCAAATGACTTCTATTGAGGTACTAATTCACATTATTTTATTTTGAAATGTGAACATAGTATGTCCCTTTGATATTATGATATACATACGTAGTACAAGTATATATATACATAGGTGCATCATATGTTGGGATCCACATAGTCCTAAGAACTGCATCATCAAACATACTTAATTTCATCAAAGTCAATAATTCTTACTCTTGTGTACGTAATGCGTGAATGACATACAAGAAACTCTTTGTTGATACCAAAAAACAGTATAAAAATGACTGAATTTTAAGATATGATTAACAATAGAAATAATTTCATACCTTCTTCAGGAGAAGACAAGGGTAAAGTTGTTTTAGGAAGCTTAATAATCCAAATCGACCATATAAGTGATATCACATACTTTCTCCGTTTCTTTTTAGTTGACACATTTTTTTAGTCACGTTTGTCAATGCACAAATTCAACCGTTAATATCTTTAATTACTGATTACCAAAATTTATAAAAAGTTGATATTTTTAAAATATATATCGTGACGAATCTATTAAGACCGCACATGACTATATTTTTCATTACATATAAATCACAAAATACGGTCAAAGGAAAGTGTGTGAATAGTGCTAAAGTCAAAACGTGTCAACTAAAAAAAAAACGGAGGTAGTATAAGTCAACGTATAATATGTGTGATTTGATGAGACATGATCAAGTATTGGTTACATATATCCTAAGCACCCATTGTATAAATTGTAACGTAACCATTTGTTATACATACATTATAGGATAGTACACTAGCGGCGATGCTGTTACGGCCATTCCCACTAGCCATAACAAAAGCACAATCGGAGGAAGGGAAAGACTCAGAAAGGGTAGCTCGGATATACATCAAGACATTGGAAGATAGAGTGATAAAGGCAGAGCAACAAGATGCAATGATAAAGAGATGACCACCAACACAAGTTTATGGGATTGAAAGTGACCATTGCCCTTTTTTCTCTAACCCACTTGTGCTCGCTGGCTTGCTCCTTAAAGTTGCTACTACTACTACTACTAAAATTACTTTTTAGGAGTACTACCTCTACCTATGTAAATGATTTATATATATTGGACTTTACTTTTAGCATAATTCTCACATGGATTGTCTTTTTGGTAATTGTTTAAAGAATCTCTCTCTCTAGCTATATACTTATATTTTATAATGTGAATAGGTCTATTTTGGATCATGTAGGTTTGAATACATGAGGGTTTGATAAATAAATTATGTATTACATATATTGAATAATTACATGTGCATTGAACCCTTCTTAGTACATAAGAAATAATTAGCCAGCATAACCAAATGATTAGAATTGAGCTAAGTTACAGACTATTATCATATGGAGTGGCTTAATTATGTGCCAAAGGACTGAGTCGAGCCAACTTATGAGCCAAAAAAAAGGTGTCTAATTTGAGGGCTATGCCAAGCTTTGACCTAAAAAAATGTATTTTTGAACTATTCAAACTAATATGACATTTCAAAACATGATATATAATCGCCCAATTCAATTTCACAATTTTTAAGTTTGTCAACCAAAACAACAGGCTAATGATGATCAACTCTCTAATGGGATAGAGAAGTAAGAGTAAATTTAAACCACATAGACTAACCTTCCTAGCTCGATTTTCTTCTTTCTTCATCACATGTCATATCATTGTGATAAAAGGATAGTGTTCATTAGACATTATATAGTTGATCTAAGTAAAGAGAAGGCACCCAAAAATGACCTAATACCAATAATCTTGGATGTGCTATTACTGTTAATACGCAATAACCCATCATCATATATAGAGTCAACTCTTATCTAGAAACTAGAGAAACCATCTAAATATTGTCTTCCATTAGCACTTTCTTAGTGGTTCACTCTAGTCCAAATTCAAAAACTTTTATGCATCTTTCATTGAAGATTCAAGTTTGATCCTTTAAAACATTGTGACAAAAAAATGGGCCAGTAGCCACCTAATAAATTTTTTACACTTGAAAGGATTTTGGAAAATTTATTTCCCGGCCCTAGCTTTTCCACCGTGGATTTGACCGTCTTGTATCCAAAAAGCTAGAAATTTGTATAGTTTCGACATAAAGTTGGATGAGTGGAAATAAAGCTTTTCATACAATTACACATCGAAACGTGGGGAAAACTGGGGATTGATTGATTGATTTGGGTACCTCTAAGAATGGGGTTATTATTAAATACTATAATCACATCCATGTCTAACACTTTGTTTGGATAGAAGGAAATGAAAGAAAAAGAAAGGAATGAGACAAACTCTCTTGTTTGGGTAAAGGATTAGAAGAAAGAAGGGAAAAGAGAACGAGGGATCCATTTTTCCTCTCTCTTTAATAAGCATAATCTCTCCAAAATTGGAGAGATTTGTTGGGAAAATGGAGTTCACCTCTCCCTCCCGTTCTTCTCTCTTCCCTTCCTCTTCTATCCCTCCCCTTCCTTTCCCTCCTTGTTTCCTATCCAAACAAAGCTAAATGTTATTCCTAATTTGATTTTTTTTATTTTTTTTTTAATTTGGTGAGACAATCGCTATTAAAATAAAAGCAATATGTAGAGTTCGAGGACACAGAACTGTAGAATTAAGAATTATTATTATTAATAATAATCGTCATGTGATTCTGTCATAAATCCATCCTAAACTTATAGCGGCAACAATGCTCGTCTCATATTTCCCAATAAGAAAAGTTATTCCATACAAGAAATAGCTCCAACCATTGAGCCAACTTAATTTTAATTTCCATATAATATGCATGCGCTGCAAATTGAATATAATTTGCACGGGATAAGCAGAATGGAATGAATAAAGGGAAAGAAAAAAAATAGAATGAAAAACCTTAAAATTTACTATATACGAAGTATGTTGTTTGTTTTAATAACAAAAGTAAACAAACCTCCAGCCCCACCACCACCACACAACCACCTATTTCCTTCACTTTCCACCTTCTCTAGCCACCCCACCATCCATCGGTTTGCCGCCCCTTGAAAAGCCCTCCCCTCCCTCGAAAAACATCCGCCACACCCCCGTAAAACCCTAGAAACTCCTCCCAAAAAACCGTCGGCCACTAACCCAATTTTCAAGTCGAAGATATGGTAGCATTCCCAGTCAAATTGTTTGGTGAAATTCATTGCCTTGAACATTTTGATTCTATGAGGAGCATGATAGTCATGCTATCATCGCAACAATGGGCCGGTTTCGAGGGTGGGGGAGGGACGGCCGACGATCTTTCGGGGAGGGGGAGGGGTTTCTAGGGTTTTGCAGGGGTGGGGGATGAATTTCGGGGGAGGGGAGGGCTTTTCGGGGGGGGGGCGAGGGGCGGGGGAGGGTCGGCAAACTGGCTGGGTTGTTGTGCATGGGTGGTGGGGGTAGGGTAGGAAGGTGGTGGATGGTGTGGGTATGGTGGTGTAATGGTGGATAAGGAAAAGGAAAAGCAATGGAAAACCTAGGGAGATGGAGAATCAAGTTGGAAGGATTTGGGGGAATGGAGAGCTGAGGGTAAAGCCGTAAAGGGAATGGGGAAAAAGCCTTAACAAACAACAACAAAGGAAAAAAGGGCAATTGATTCCTATTCCTTTAATTTGGTGAATACCCCCGACCAAATGGCCCCTTATTATGTAAAGTATAAATACTTAATTTTACGTAGTTGTGGTAGTAAGAAGCTAGGCCTCCACCAGCTTCCCTAGCTCCACCCCTAACAGTATGTGCTCTTTAATTAAGGGTTGTATATATCATAACGACATAACTCAAGTGGTTAAAGCTTCTCTCCCAGGCCAGTTTCAATTAATCCTGTGATCGATTTTCATCACTCGCCCTTGTGACTCTCTAAACACCAAAAAAAAAAAAATTATTGTATACGTTGCTTATATAAGAGTGGAATAAGTAATACTACCACTAGGTTAGTGTTAGTCAAAGTGCTCCATGCATGTCCTGATTAATTAGTTGGATGATTATTAATCTTTTCCTTTAGACAACCTCATTGGCCGGTGGAGTAATTAATGGGTAAATTTATTTACAAGTATGCGACATTAATTAGTGCAATACTCTGTTAATAACTTACTGAGTACTAAACGTTGCTTCTTTAAGTGATATTTGACTATTAATGAATTAATCTCATGTATTACCATATATAATCATCAAACAAGCAATCAATAATCCTGCTAAAATATTAGAATGTTAGAGCTTAAAAGTCATCTAAATAATTTTAAATTGTATTATCTTGTTTTTGCAAATTACAGAACATCCTTTCGTAAACTCCCACTAATTTAATTGCGGCAAAGTAAGACAAAGGAGAAGTACACCTAATAACTCGCTGTAATTGAGCTGTCACCCTCAGTTTCATCCATCATTTCCGTTTAATCTTAAGAAATTGTAATATATTCTTTGTAACATGTGTTGTACTCGGTAGTCGGCATACTTTGTATTAATCCAAGCAAAGTTATAATTTGTTATACACAAAAACGTTACAAAAATGGCAGATCGATGTGATAAGGTTAGAGTGCCATCGAATGCACACTTCGTGCTCGTTCACGGCGCCTGCCACGGCGGGTGGAGCTGGTACAAAATCCGATGTCTACTTGAAGGCGCCGGGCAGAAAGTTAGCTGCCCGGACCTTAGTAGCTCCGGGATTGATCCATCGGATGCTAATACTATCTTTACTTTCCAAGACTATAATAAGCCTGTTGATGATATTTTAGCAAGCTTACCACGAGGTGAAAAGGTTAGTAATGTTCATACCCATCCTTAAATGTAGCCAATATATTTATTTATTTAGTAATCTTTTAAGCTAAAAAGAAGGAATTTGACTGTATCTCAATCCTCACAATTTTTTTGGTTTAATGTTTGCGGGTTAGGCATTTTAAGAGTAAGCGGAAAGAAGGGTCGGAGATTCCTACCCTTAAAATGTCTCTAGTGGGAATTGAACCCCCAACGTCAAGGTTGGATGGTGCAATCTTTCTCATTAGACCAAGCTTAGCTTGGTATGATGAGTATATTATTAGACAATGTAATTGAATACGTTTTTGTGTTGTGTGATAGGCTGATAGTTGGAACTTGAAAGTGATGTTTATTATTTAAGAATATCGAGTGCAGGGTGGTGTTTGTTTTTCGACTCCATATTATTAGATTATTATATCTTAAAAATAGACCAAGTCATATAACCTACAAAAAATTAGTGGGAAACCGAGATATAATCTGGGCCCCCACTCCTCTAGCTGGTTCGTACAATTTCAAAAATAGACAAAGTCATGCAATCTAAAAAAAATTAGTATTTAGTTGATACGTAATCATTGAAATAAATCTTAACAATATGTGACATACTTACCTTTATTTTACTTCGTATATACAATCACAAACTGTGGTCAAGCACTTTTTTTTTTCCCTCTTAAAATTTACTTGCATTTTACACTACTTAGTTTAACTATGTACTTGTATGATTTTGTGAAATTAGGTGATTTTGGTGGGGCACAGTGCAGGAGGGCACAGCGTAACAGAGGCTGTCCAAAATCATCCTGATAAAATTCAAGCAGCAGTATTTGTTGGCGCAACAATGCTCCGTAATGGATTCCAAACTGAACAAGATAGAATTGAAGTACGTAATTTTTTTTTTCTTTTCCTTCTTTACATTTATTCTCCCTCTAAGATGACTAAATACTACCTCACTTCCCATTTTAGATCATATTGAATTTGAAAATTTTTCCTTGATCTTAAATATAACTCCGGCCTCCACGACGGGGTGTGGAAGCCATCATATCCCACCACACAATTTTAGAGTGATTGCGCAAAAACAAATTATATTTTTAGTCAATTATCAAAATAGATTAATAATTTTCTCAAAAAAAAAAAAAAAAACTTTTTATTTTGTTGGAGGACCAATTTAATGGTCGAACCTTATGATTGATTTATATACTCTATCTATTAATTTTAATTTATATATTCCTATTTCCGTTTAATCATAGGTTTTGACATGCTTTGAACATTATATGTACCTTTGTTGAATAAGGCATCGCTTAAATTATGTCGAACCAAAACAATTTGAACTTGATTCAAGTAATTTTTTTGATTTGTTGTACGATGTTGTAGGGAGCACCTGACTTGTCTAGATATGGGGAAATATATGACTATGAATATGGTCAAGGACATGACAACCCTCCAACTAGTGTCATTTTCAAGAAAGAGTTTCAACGTGAGATATTATACCAAAGGAGTCCTTTAGAGGTAAATTTCTTAAGTTATTAGCAAAATGTTGCGTAATAACTAAGTACTTTGTAAGTTTAATCACTCTTTTTTCGTATAAAAGGATTGTAAGTTTAATCACTTAAGAATTTCAGATCATGTAAAAGTCGGAAAATTTGTTACAGGATTGCACATTGGCAGCAATGCTTCTTAGACTATGCCCAGTAAGAGCTCTTAGTAGGGCCATGTTTCCCGAAGGTAAGGGCTCTGATAAGGTGCCACGTGTTTACATCAAGACGTTGCATGACAATGTCCTATCACGTGAGCAGCAAGATGTGATGATCAAGAGATGGCCACCGTCTAACGTTTATGAAATTGATAGTGATCATTGTCCTATGTTCTCCAACCCTTCTCATCTCTTTGGCTTACTTCTTAAGGTTGCTGCTAATAGTGGTGATAATCTATTTTAAGACCGTCATTAACAAAAGACATATTAGTGTAACTAAGGGTTTATGTACTACTTTCATTTCTGAATAACCACGCACATATTATGGAAAAATCTCGTCTAACTCCATTCATCATTCACGAATAATCATGGCCATTATTGATATTCTTGGGGCGCATTCCAAGGGATACGCTTTGTTGACTCTAATGAACAATACAGGGGGGATGAATTGTATTATTGTAGAGGAAGTAGGGTAATTTTTGCAGAATTAATAAAATAAAGCTTAAAAGAAACTTAAAGTGCGAAGAGAGATTTTACGTAGAAAACTTCTTAATCCTAATCAAGAAGAAAAACCACGACTACAAGGGATTTTAAAACTCAACTCTTAATTATAATAGGGCAAACAACCTATTACAATCTATGACTCTAACTCAAGTTTCTCAACAAACTCGAGTTCCCTTTTCAATTGATCCCTCAACCAGTTGAACTCTCAAACTCTCTCTTTCTCCTTGCTTCACTCAAAGCAATAAGCACTTTAGAGTTCACTCAAACTCCAACCCAATACAACTCTAGATTAACTCTTATATTTAGCACAAAGACACTCAATGACTCAAACGGATTTCGACTTTTTTTAAAACAAGAAAGATTGCAATGCTCAAGTGTGTTTTTCTCAAATGAAAACCAAGTCTATTGTAGGAAAGATAGGTAGTTGCTTTTGTCGTTGCTTAAGCTCCATTATGTCACAACTCCCTTAATTTAAGGAAGTGCAGTTAGAGGGAACTTGGGCAGCAAGCTAAAACAACTTCCCTAATTTTATTGAAAGTGTTTTACTACTTCCATATCTCAACTGGTTTTGACCAAGTAAACACACGTTAAAAAGATATTTACCAAAGCTGATTTTCTTCATTACTTTCCTTAACTCCATGAGCTGCTTTCAAACGTTGCTACATGATCTCTCCTACTCTAGATCATCATAGCACATAACTTAATCCTACAAAGGACCTGTTATTCACACAACTCAAATACAAAGTTAAGTCCTTATGAGTTTGCTGAAGTTCCATTAAGTCAACATCAAAATTTAGAGTCAACAATATTCCCCCTTTTTGATAAATGACAAACCCAAACAAACTCTGTTGGAAATGAAGGTAAAATAACAACTCCTAAAAACTAAAACTTAAAACTAAAGAGAACTAGAGACATATACCTCTTCATAAGACTTTGCTAGATGGAGAGCTTTGTCAACAATTGAGTTTGCCTTCTTTTCCCCCTTTTGGCTTTCATCAAAATTAATGCACATATATATATATATATATATATATATATATATATATATATCTTAACACAGCACCATCAAAGATGGTTTGTGTCCAAAGCATAGAACAAAGCACATATAGGCGGAAATAGTATGCAAATAGTCTAAAGCATGCAAGCAAATATTAACATCACATAAACAAACTGATGTTCCTCCAAACATCAAAATCCATAAACAAACACCTTGTTTAATGTTTAACAGACCCAAAAGCAAGAAAAATAAAAATAGTTAATACAGACTAAGTTCAAAGCTCAAAGTTTCATAGGTAAGCAAAATAACAAGGAATCAGGCTTCATTTATAGGGGCAGAGGAGTTGTGTTCTTATCCTGCATTTTCATCTGAGATCTCCTCCACTACAATGTCTTCCAGCTTCTTCATCAGGTTCTCCTGTCCTTGTGAGAGAGCAGTGGTTCTTTGTTTAAATTCAGTGACCAGATCTTATGATGCCTTTTCAAGGTCATCCACCACCTTCTCAAGAGCCTTGATCCTCTGAAGCAAAGCAGGCTGTGCATCTGTTAGTTTCTTCACAGACTCCTTGAGCTCTCTTAGTTCCTGTAAGGAACTTGGAGATATAAAGGCAGCAAAACCTGTACATGCTGGAATAGAACGCACTACAAAAGCTTGTTTAAAGGTACCCTGTTCCCCCTGAACAAATACTTTCTCCTCACTCAAATCAAACAAAGGAAGAACTCTTCCTTTTTCCATCTGGTTTCTTCCCTTTGTCAGATTCCTCTAATTTTTCTTTCTTTTCTCTTGGCTCTCCAACACCCCCTCAGGATCATCATCTTCCTCCAGCCATTTCTCCAATTCTTCCTCGGCAGTTAATTTCTCATTTTCCTCCTTATTAATTTGTGATTTGGGTTTTGGCTTAGGAAGGAACTGAGTAACACCATCAACAACATGTAGGTTTCGAGCTTCAAGGGTTCTGGGTTGGACATAGTGATTGGTTTTTAGCTTGAGGCACTCAAGGTTTGCAAGAGGGACACCACAACTCTCAATAAGTGTGATTAGCAAGTTTGCATAGGAAATTTTCAAATGGTTTGTAATGCAGTGAGTGAGGTGTTTGATCATTATGGAGGGAAAATTGATTTTTATTTTGTTTTCAAGGCAATACATCACCACAACATCAAGTTGATTTGCCTTGTTCCTATCTTAAGTTCTAGGAACAATGGCTTAGTGCACAAAGACAAAAAGCAGTTTTTGAATTGGAGAAAATAGGTTATGGTAAGTTCTCACCTTCGAGGCTTTTCCACTAATTGACTATACAATCTGTCCAATTGGTACCTCCCTAACTCCCAATTTTGTTTCTCCTTTGAAATACTCACCAAACCCTACATTAGGAGTTCCAAATATAGCACACAAGTCATCAGCATCAAAACATAGTTTCGATTTTTAACTTCGCTTGAGCATACGCCATATTCATTTTTAAAATCAGCACAAAATTCTTTCAATGGTGCATGAGCAAGTACATTATTGAAGCAATCACTAAACAATTTTATCCAATTTAGAGCTTCAAGAATTTCAAGAAGTTCAGAATACTTACAGGCCTCGCACCACTTTAAATTGATGCAAAAACCAGGTAATATTCAAGCCTCTTAACAACACTCGATTTTTATTTTCCCCTTGAATTGGTTCACCCAGTTCCTCCCACTCTGGTTCATCTTCCTCGAGTTTCCTTTTCTTCGATTCTTTTCGTTCAGCAGACATGTTCTTCGATTTTTCTATCATCAATCCTTTTGAGGTGGATTCTGACTCAATGTCCATGGGTGAGTCTTTTTGAGGAGAGGTTTTCAAATTTTGAGAAATTTCCATGGGTGAGGAAGGTGAATCGGTGAAGTGTAGAGTATATTTTACGGAGTGAGGTGGTGAGGAACAATGGTTAGGATTTGGTTCCATTTACAGAGGTAAGTGTTTGGGGAGTTGAAACGGGTAGGTAGAAGATTGTAGAAGGTGAATTTGGAGGTGAGGTGTCGTTTGAAGAAGGACGGTAAAAACTTCTCCCTTGGTCTAGATTATAATCATCCAATTTAATGTGATGTGACGTTGAAGGGTCAAGGGTATTTAATCCAAGAGCTAATTTTTCAATTTGAATTTAAAATTGGTTTTTGAGCAAAAATATCTGATATTTGAATATAAGATAATATTTAAAAGATTTTTGAAAAATAAAATTAATTAACTGTATAGCTAATTAATTTTGCAGGATAGGAACAAATATTTTTGGATAAATATACGGAGGAACTTGGAACAAATCAACATAGCTTGAATGCAATATTAACATGCTTAATGCAATTGATTTCTTCACATACAGCCACAATCCCATATGCAGTGCCATACATTCTAATTAGCTCAGGATTATGTTTTCACATATTCATGTTGTGCAAGACACATTATGGAGATAATTAAGTTCGTTCTTTTGGGTCGTCGTTATATCATAGCTAGAGGTACTAACAATCTTTGGGCTAGTAAAATAGTCTAAAGCTCAACTGAACGGATCCTATAAGGTCACACAAAGGGCCTAGATTGAGCATAAGAGGAAGAGGCCCATATTGGGCCTCATTCCTCTAGGTGGCCGGCCACATGGAGGAGTGTAGAGGGTTTTGGGCTTTGCTCGCTCCTAGTCTAACTATAATATGATTATAAATAAACTAGGTGCCTAGGTTTTTCCTAAGACAGATTTACTATTAATCGAAAACCCAAGTTAGCAAACACGAGACCGACCCCATCAAACTCCCTCTCTCTCTCCCCTTGCGCCGGTTGTGTGTTCGGTGGTGGTGGTGGTTCGTGGTGGTGTTGGTTGTCCGCAAAGGTGGTGATCGTGGTGTTTATCCTTCACCCGACCAATCTAGTCACTACAAGAATCAGGGCGATTTCCGACGGACACGTAATTCCGTCAGAAACATCAAAAATTCCGACGGATATTTCCGACGAACTTAAATTTCCGCCGAACATTTCCAGCAGAATATAAATCCGTCGGAATTTATGTACTTTTCGAGGAATTTTTTCCTCGGAAAGTACCTTTTTCGACGAAATAAAAATCCGTCAGAAATTTCCAACGGTCCGTCAGAACATAATTAAAAAAAAACCTTACAAAGAAAACCCTAAGCCCCCTCTCTTTTCCGCCTCTTTTCTTTCTCTTTCCCCCTTCTCCTTCTCTCTCTAGTTCTCTTTCTCCTCTTCTTCTTCTCGTTCTCCTTATATCTCCTTTTCTCTTTCCTCCTTTTCTCGTTCTCCTTTTATCTTTTCTTATATATCCCACCACCACCGCCAACCCTAACCCCCGCCACAACACCAACACATAAATCAAAATAACCGGCGCAAAACAAAGGTTATTAGTAGACCTGCACAGATGGACGGGCCCCCATCAAAAGCCCTGACCCAGCCCTTTTTTAAGCAGGGTTAACCAAGTCCACTTGATAAATGGGTCGGGCTTTAAAAAGGTCAACCTTATGCGGGCTTTTAATGAAGCGGGGTGGGCCTTTAGAGGGTCAAGCTTTATACGTTGCTAAGTCTCTTATACGGGCTTACTATCTCACTCTCCTCACTGAAGCATACTCTGATTCGCTGAATTCCCATTTTCGCACATCACCGATTCACCGTCATTCTCATTTTCTCTTTCTTGAACCCCTGGTCATCTTTCTCTCTCCTCTGCTCTCTAACTTCGCTTCTTTGTCGTCATCACCATCAAATTTTCTTGTTTTCTCTTTTGTTCTTTCTCCAACCTCTAATTTTCTGATCTTTACTGAATTTCTAGATCTAATTTCAAAGTTTTTTTATCTACTAAATTAATTTGGGGAATAAATAATAGTATTTAGAGTTTGAAGAATTGTAGGGGTAGGCTGAGTATAATCAATGCAAATGATACTTCACTAACTTTAAATACCCCAAACTATATCATACATACTTCCTATTATTCAATGGGGTTCATTATTCAATTAGTTGGTGAATTTCTGATATTCTAGTTCCTGACCGATCCATTTAAGAAGACTCTTGACAATATTGCCCTTTAAAGACCCTTTAATGGATTCAATTTTTTTTTTTTAAATTTAATGGGCTGTTATAACTTGCCTTCAAAGTTTAAATGGACTGGGCCGGGCTGGGCTTTACGGTCCATAACCCAACCCGACCTTTTTCAGATTATCCTCATCCCTGATCCAGCTCGGCCCGTTTAATTAAGGGCCAGCCCAGCCCGGATCTGGCCCATTGATCAGGTCTAGTCATTAGGTTAAATAATTTGTGTTAACTATTTATTAGTTTGATTATGTCACACCCATGCGTATACAATGAGAAAAAAATGCTAATTAACAAATATTATACTTCCTTCATTTTACTAAAACTGCAACACTTTTCTCATTTTTTTTAAACCAAGTTGCAAGAATTTCATTAAAAAAGATCAATTTCCGTCAAGGTAATCAAGTTTTGGGGAAAAGAACCGAGAGAAACAAGTTCATTACAATCTCTAGCATCCCATCTTGCAACACTCTTCTCATTTAATGGGCTGTTATAATACTTCGTACTGTATTTCACCACATCTTACCTTGATTTCGGTCTTATTTTGGCTGTGACTCTGTGAGGCCTATGTAACGACTGATATGACCACTTTAAAACTTTCTCTCCTCAATTTGTTACCTTTTAAAAACTAATAATCCCCTTGGTTTATATACTTTCATTTATATCTTAACCAAATGTTTAAACTTTGAATACGTGACCTTAGTATTACACTAACTCTGATACCATGTTAAAGGATTAATTTAACTAAAACTTAAAATTAATGGTTAAAATATATGATTGATTTAAATACTCTATCAAGGACTTACGACGTTATAGTTGGTTGTAACCTATCATACCCTTTTTTGCTAGTAAGCTAAGTCAATATTTAATTGCTACTTCTACTCATTAGCTACATGTATCATTTTTCCTTTATCAATATCAGGATTTTAGGATTTATATAGATCGTTCATTGTTTTATCTCGACACGTAACAAAGAAATTTCCATACATCCCAAATTTAATTGGGCAAATATAATTTTCATAGGATTATTTGTGGCCCTCGATTACTGGACCAGCAGAAATTCTTGCGTGAACTTGGTCCACAATAATATTATTGTAGACTGGAGATTTATATACACGCAGAATTAACGTTATTTGGAATATAGTGACCGTAATTTTAACATATTATCCTTATTTTTTAACATAATAACCTATATTAAAACTTGTGTGACCTTTAATGTTATTTCTGTTTACATCCCAAAAAATTAACCTCTTATAGCTATTATAATGTCACAATCGCTTTTATTTCAACATAATAACCTTTATTTTAATGTAGTGACCTTTTTTTTATCTATAAAACAATCATAGTATCTCTAATGTTAGTGGTCCACAATAAATTTGTGTGAAACAGGTCCATTTAAGAATTTTATCTCCACTAATTAAAATGTCAATTAATTAACGGTGATCTTAGTAGTTGTTGAAATAACATTCTAAATTTATATCATTATCTTTAATTGAAAATCTTAATTATCTTTCTACATCTTTGGAGAAATTTCTTTGGTTGTATTATTTGTTTGGAAGTGTCCTTAATGTTGTATCCTAGTCTTAATTGCTACATTTTTCATCTTTCTTATCATTTTCATCAAGTCTTCCCATTTTTGTGTTCAAAGTACGGGCGCCAATATTGTCATTTTTGCATGATTTATTTAGCAAATTGTGGTTCACTTTAAATGTACTTTTTTTTTTTTTTTTTTTTTTTTGAAACCACTTTAAATTTAGTTGATGAACTTCTATTAATTTTCATAATATACCATGATTAATTTACCCTTTTCCACGCACTTTGTCCTAGTCCATGGCGCGAGTCATGGAGGTTGGTGTTGGTACAAAATCCGATGTCCACTTGAAAGTATCGGGCAAAAGGTTAGTTGCCCGGACCTTAGTAGCTGCGGGATTAACCCTGTTGATGCTAATACTATCTCTACTTTTGAAGAGTATAATAAGCCCCTCGATGATCTTTTGGCAAGCCTACCAGAAGGTGAAAAGGTTAGCAAGCTATGCTTATATACTTGCTCTTATTAACATGTTTAATTGTGATTGTTATAAGAAATATACCCCCTTCATTATTTTTAATTACACCATTTGTGATTTTACGCTCGGTAATGCATTACTTTATCATTAATATCTTTATTTAATATTATACTTTAGTTACAATTAAAAAGTTGATATTTGAAAAGTAGATACTAAAACATATATAATTAGAACCAAATGACTATGTTTTTTATTTATGTATAAATCACAAAAGATGGTGAAAGAAAATTGTGTACATAAAGTAAAAGTCCAAATGTTGCAATTTAAAGAAATGTAATGTATTATATATATATTGAACCACAACAAATCTCATAAAATTAGATTTACTTTTCTTTTTCCACTCTTTTTTTTTTACTTGTCAAAAAAAAATTATACCAAGTACTTGTATACTGTAATAAAATTTTGTCAATGACGGTATAGTTAAGAAATTAAAGTACTAAAATGAAGATATAGATACATGATTACATGAGTATAGTACCAAATGATTTGTACTACTGTAAATATATTTATACAAGGCGATAACATTAAGATCTTGTTCTGATCAGTTCACCTTAAAAAAAAAATATTTAGTAAAAATAATTTCAGTTCAGCAAAAATAAAATCAGTTTAGTAAAATTAATTTCAGTTCAGCAAAAATCAGTAACTCTAAAGAACAAGTATAATAGAGAATCATAAAAAATAATTTTAATTTAGGAAAAATAATTTTAATTCAGCAAATTTCAGTTTAACAAAAATAATTTCAATTCAGTAAAAATAATTTAAGTTCAACAAAAATAATTTCAATTCAGTAAAATTAATTTCACTTCAACAAAAACAAGGTGAAGTAAACAGGGCCTAATAATAATGAATTTGCAATTTTTGTGTTTGCAAATTATTTTGTCTACTCCATCTTGTATAGTTGTACTCCCTCACCTTTGTTTTTTGTTGCTCGAACTCATTCCAAATCTATTAACTAATATTAAAACAAAACATGCTAACATCATCTTTCTCTAAATTTGTACACATGTCGCTTTCTCATAAAAAAATTTCCCGCCTAAATGCTTTAATGACATCATCTTTATCTTTTTTTTATTTTTTTTAAAGTTGAACTACTCTATTTTTATTAATTTGAAAACTGTTTATGAATTTTGACTAAAAAATCAAATAGATGCTTCTACAAACTACTATACAAACTGTTAATTGTTGGAAGCTAAAATAATAATTTTGATGACATTGGTGCTAATTATATACTATGTATTTATTTTTTTCTTCAGATTTCATTATTATGCATTCCTTAAATAATTTTCTTTTGACTATTTCAATTATTAATTGTAAATAATGTGGTTCATATATATTCTTAAATGTAAATTATTTTTATATCTAATTATAATTTTTATATACAATATAATGCAACAGAATACAAATTACAAGAAAGATTCATTCTAATTGTGCATCGCACGGGGATAACCTAGTAAGAACAATAAAAAAGAACGCAAGGAGTATGATATCAAAATTAGTTTATATACTATATCAATACAACTCGTTACACATTTTCATCTTAAGATCGAACTATATAGAGGATCGGAACTTAATTAATTTGGTTTAATTTTGTTGAATAAGGTGATATTGGTAGGGCATAGTGCAGGAGGACTCAGTGTTACAAAGGCCATACAGAACTTTCCAGAGAAAATCCAAGTTGGGGTATTTGTTGGGGCTCTTATGCTTCGAAATGGGTTCCAAACCGAAGAAGATAGAAATTATGTAAGTTCTTATCTTCCTTATTTTTGCAATTGAATATTTCAAAATTTGTAATATTATAAACAGATGTACTTGAGAAAATATTAATTGAAAATTTGTAACAACTTATATCGATATCTATACTTATATATTAAAAAACGTTCCTAAAACGTTTGTGTGTCACGTGACACCCTTGCAATGTCATCTTTCAACTATGAACATATTCTAATAAAAAATTTCTATCATGAGATTTGAACTCACAACCACAAAAATATGCATTAGAATTCTTACCATCTCATCTAATGATTAATCATGTTTTTATACTCAACTCATAAATATATATATGGATTGGAGATCTAAACATTTAATTACTGCGATTTAAAAAAAACGATTTTATTATTTGCTAATAATGCTCATTAATGAGGTAATTCATACAAGAAAAATTAACTATTGTTATAAACTAATTTTAGTTATTTAATTATTTTGATAATAATTATGTCTTTATTTTTATTATATTATAAATTATATACGAAGGACATGTTCATACAATTAGTTAATAGTTGTTCCATAAATTATTTATTCAAAGGTTTAATGAAAAAATATTACAAATAAACAAATAATGAATAAATAAATAATAAAGAATGATCTATCTATTCAATTATAAGTGTTGAAAGTAACAGCCCGGGGTATTGCCTGTGCCAAACTATAATTGTTATTCTTATAAGTTGGCTTAATTAATTACTTGTTGGCTTTTTCATAATTGATGAATTTACGTAGATAGGCTTCTAATTAAAAGAGACATCTGCTTTACTCTTTTAATTAAATTTCTTAGTATTAAATTCACATGATTCAATAATAGTTTATTTTTACATATGTTAGTATTATACATGTTTAATTTGAATTTTTACGTATAACATCACAACTAAATTGGCAATGATGGAGTTATTTATTAGCTCAATCATATGTAAAAGTATTTTACGGAGTATAATTTTGTATTGTGAATTGTGATCTTGTAGGGATCGCCCAATTTGTCAAAAATCGGAAGTATTTGACTATACCCATGAACAAGGATCGAACAATCCTCCAAGTAGTGCCACTTTCAAAAAGGAAGTTCATCGTGAGATATTGTACCAAATGAGTCCTTTAGAGGTAAACTTACATAATTTTATTTTAATCAACTAATAACTACACTTTTTTTTTTTTTTTTTTGAGGAATAACAACACCACATTAATTACATATTTATAGTACTGTCGAAAACCGAACCGAACCGGAGAAATCGAACCGATTCAAACCTATCCGAATGAGAACCGAACCGATTAAAAACCGCTTTTTTGAAATCGAAAACCGACCCGAACCGCATTTTAGTAAAACCGAAACCGAACCGATCCGAGTAACGTTAAACCGTTTAACAACCGAACCAAATGTTAACCGAACAGAAAGGAAACCGAACCGAAAATGAACCGAACCGTTTCTAACCCGAAACCGTTTGTACTGGCATGAAAACCGTTTACACCGAACCGTTTATAAACCGAACCGCTTATAAACCGAACTGTTTATGAACAGAATCGTTTATTAACCGAACCGCTTATAAACCGAACCGCTTATAAACCGAACTGTTTATGAAACAAATCGCTTATAAATCGAACCGTTTACAAACCACTTACTACTAGGAGTGGTTATTGGGTGGGTCGATGCGGGTCATTAGCGGGGCGGGTCAGTTGCGGGTCAAGATGAATATTTAGCGGGTCAAGGTCGAGTCAGGGTCGAGATAAAAGTGAAACGGGCCATTAACTATGAGAATATGAGATGGTTATATCTTATATGTTATGTATCTGTATAATCGATTGAAAGAATCAATATTACCTTCTTCTTCATTAATGTTTTCTTTCATTATACAAATCAAACTACTCTGTAATATCTTCATATATAACTTTATGCAAATATATAATGATAAACGAGTCTTAATTATCAGTCTTGTTGACTAATTAAGTATCGAATACCAAATTGCAAATTTCGATGTCACAACAACTCATCAAATCATGATTATGACTCTATTAACTAAATGATCAAATAAGAAGCAGATAATAATCTGATAGTAAAACAATAATACATTAATGCACTAAACTTTTATAATCTACTTTGCAATAAACTAGTAAGATCAGTATGGCTAAACTTGAAACATAACATGATATGTATTTATAAAATTAATGAGAATTTGCATATAATATGATGCCTCAATATGAAGTGATGAAGTCTTGGCTTTATATAAAACTTGTTAACTAGAAAAAAGTTAGAAAGTAGTATAAAATTTCAAACCAAAACTGTTTGATTGGCCGAATCCAAACGACTCGATAAAAAACCGATTTTTTGAAATCAAATACAGACCCGAACCATAATTTAGTAAAGCTGAAATAAAACAGATCCAAATAATGTTAAATCGTAGAAGAACCGAACCCGTTAACAAATCGAACCAATTATGAACCGAACTAAAATTAAACTGAACCAAAAAAGAACCGAACCGTTTCTAACCTGAAACTGTTTGAGCCGGGATAAAAATCGTTTACACCGAACCGTTAACAAACCGCAACCCGTCTGCACCGAACCGTTTACTACCCGGACTATTTACAACCCAGACTGTTTACAACCCGAACCGAATTTAAACCGGGATAAAAACCGTTTACACCGAACCGTTAACAAACCGCAACCCGTCTGCACCGAACCGTTTACTACCCGGACTGTTTACAACCCGGACCGTTTACAACCCGAACCGAATTTAAATCGGGATAAAAACCGTTTATACCGAACCGTTAACAAATTGCAACCCGTCTGCACCGAACCGTTTACTACCCGGACTGTTTACAACCCGAACCGAATTTAAACCGGGATAAAAACCGTTTACACCGAACCGTTAACAAACCGCAACCCGTCTGCACCGAATCGTTTACTACCCGGACCGTTTACAACCCGAACCGAATTTAAACCGTTCAAGAATAAACCGAAACTGAATCGAACCGAAAATTATTTAAACCGAACTGAAACCGACCCGTAAGACATTTGAACCGATTTTAAACAGACCCAATTTCAAACCAAATCGATTTCAAACCGAACCGTAACCGAACTGTCAAACCGTTTTGATAGTGCTACATATTTACATACAATATTAGAGGGTTAGAATTGTGGTGTAAATGTTCCACAGGATTGTACATTGGCAACAATGCTTTTGAGACCATGCCCAAAAGCTCTTATTCATGGGGCCATGTTTCCTGAAGGTAAGGGCTCTGATAAGGTGCCACGTGTTTACATAAAGACATTGCGTGACAAAGTGTACTCACGTGAGCAACAAGATTTGTTTATCAAGAGATGGCCACCGTCTGATGTTTATGAAATTGATAGTGATCATTGTCCTATGTTCTCTAATCCCTCTCATCTCTTTGGCTTAATTACTTCTTAAGGTTGCTACTACTAAGTTTGAAAGTCATTAGTATTACCATTAACCTTTAAGGGTTTTGATTACAAACATATGTAAAAGAAGATATATATAAGTTTTATACGAGTATGTATCTCATATACAATGATTGTTGTTTTTCTAAATGGGATGAGGATTTAACTGAGCAGATCGAATTGATATAAAAACATTTATATTATCATAATATATCTTTTTAATGATCTCTATTTTGAACGTGTGACTTTTTTGTCACGTTAGCTCTGATATCACGTCAAAGGTTGAAACCCATAATTAATTTATTGTATAGTGTATCATAAGGTACTAATTATAAATATAGTTTATAATACTTAAGTTGGGCTTACTACTTGTTCATACATTTTGCCAAAATAAAAGGCAGGAGATTAAATTACAATAAATAAGATTCCACACGATTGGTTTAGAAAGTGACAAAGTGAGACCACATACTTAAAGGGTTATATAGATTTCCCCTCTGATTCAAATTAAGAACATCATCTCTGATTCAGATACGATTGAGTAATGTAAGTGAGGACAACGTAACCCATATCAAAGCTTAAATTTGTCAAGAGCGTTGCCAATGCTTCCAGGATTAGATGACTGTTTGTTTGAGATGATTTCCTTAACAGTTACAGCACGGTAAATTGGAGGATTTTCTGGAGATAAAAGCTCCTCGATTGGTTTATAAAGTCGTGTGGTATTCTGTGGATAATAGTGAGCTCTAAAAATGCATGCCATTGAAATCCTTGGCCCTTCTTTACTTGCTAGTACCCTGTGCAATGCACTCACAAATTTGTTGTTGGTAATCAACTGCAAGTTAAATGCTTAAACTGTTAGCTTTTGTTATGTTTTAAGAGAAACACATTCTAAACTTGTTGGTTTTATGATTTATGACGCTATTTATACAATTGCAACATAACATCATATCCACTCTCTAATAAGATATGCAAAATGAGTCCTTTAATACGTAGTATCTTTTTGTGCATAGGTACAAATAACATAGTACCTTGCTATGCAACAGCTAAATATCTCACTGTTAGCCGCTCTCAAGTCTCTAAACTAACACCTCTAAAAGTAGGTGCAGGGTGAAGAGAAGGGGGGGGGGGGGGGGACCTCAATTGTTCATAGTTTAGTTGAATTTATGCATGTTTTACTCTTGTATACCCGGGGTAGGATTAGGAAGGTATAAAATTACTCATGTTCATGTCAAAATATGCTGGAATATATCAAGAATTCTAGATATGAGATGTAACGAATTTTTAAAGGTATGATGGTGTAACCAAACGCAAAGGACCAGGAAAATTAAATATGTTCTTCTTCCATTTACTTAAGGCAAACATACATACTGTAATTTCTGAGTGAGTGACACCTAATAGAGTATATAAAATTGATCATGGGCTTTAACCATCAAGTTAAGTTTTTCGATGAGTTGGTCATTTAACATGATACCAAAAAACAGCGTGACAGGATGGTCATGAGTTTAAATCTCATCTATATTTCAACTTAAGTTTTTGGTTGAGTCGGTTGTTTAACAACACCATACCATCTTTTACAGGAAAACTTTACAAAAGTGCCAAAAAATCAATTATGTATAACACTTAAAATTTTTGGTAAATTGAATGAAAATGAATTATTTCCTCCGTTTCTTCTTAAGTGCATCACTTTCTAAATAAGAAGACAAGGAAGTTTCAAATTCGATGTATCACTTCCTAAATATAAAAATAAGGAAGTTTCAAATTTGATACATCACATTTCTTTTAAGTTAATACAAGTAAATTCTCTTTATCTCTCTCATATCATATGGGTCCTCTTTTTCCTTTTTATCTTTCTTTCATCTTTAAAAAAGGTCTAAGAGTTCGTTTTTTGTCCAAATGATGCATAAAAAAATGGAAATAGAAAACATATCACCTGCATCAAATTTCCCATGTTGACGACTAGTGAACCAGGAATAGGGACAACGTCGAGCCACTGATGACCTTGATAGAGAACTTGTAAGCCAGGGATGTGGTTAGGGAGGAGTATAGTTATGAAGCCGCTATCCGCATGAGTAGCTGAGCCAATGGTCAATTCTGGCTCGGGGCAAGCAGGGTAGTAATTGCATGGAGCAAATATGCCATCGTTGCACCCTATGTTCTTAAGATAACTTGATTCAAGTCCAAGAGCTTGAGATAGTAGCTCATAGATTGTTTCACCTAATTTCATCACCTCATTAGTGTAATGGATCAATATATCCTTGCATTTGTGATCAATATATGTGCAGGTATATTAGTAAAGGTGTTCATGGGATGGGTGGGCCGGGCCGGGCCAAAAAATCAGCCCGTTTCTCGGGTCGGGCCAAGTTTTGACCCAAAAATCACATGTCCAAACCCGTTCAAAATAGTCGGGCTATGCGGGATTTTTGGACCGGACAAAAAAAAATCAACTAAAATTGCATAAAAACACATTTTGAAGCCCGTCCAAATTTTTTAAAAATTGGGCCGGAAACATCTGCCCAAAACCCGCCCAAAATCGTGCCGGGCCGAGAGCTGACTTTGATCAGCTCTATATATTAGTAACAAAGGAAGCTAAGTATTATTATATATTGTACCTGCACATTAGGGGTAATTCTTGAGGATTGGGAGGAGAAGATCCACGAATAAAAGTCATGGTATCTCTCCAAGCAGCCACCTTGACTTGGAGCAAGTTGAAATTACTATTGTACAAAAAATGATTGGTGTCGTAATCCCTCGAATAATACTCTTTCTTAGTCTTAACATCTTGTTCATGAAACTTACGTATGCCCTCTATCATCTCATCTAGTACTTCAAGAGGAATACCGTGGTTGACGACTTGAAAGAAGCCATAATTTTCACATGCTATCTTCACTTGCTCTATTACCTCCTCACGTCGACCTCCATCTTCGTCATCGATCCCCTTGAAATCGATCAAAGGGATCTTGTTCTTTTTGTCATCATCAGAAGACTTGTATGTGCCTGCAGTGTTCATATGAGCAATTTCATTCTCAATATTATGAAAAAAACATTTCATGTAAATATGTAATATCTTTGAAAATATTTTTGTAAAAGGACCAACTCAACCAAAAGTTTAAATTTATCAGCTAAAGCTCATGATCGATTTATATACTCTATAACACCCCCTCACACAAGAGCCCGTTGGGCTTGAAGTGTGGATGGAGGCATGCATTATGGACCCCCCCTCATACTCAACGTTTAATATTCTACTTAAAATGGGGGGAAAATAAGTTTTAAACCCGTGACCTTTGTGTCACGTTAGTTGCCTTTAAAAGCATGTTAAAGGATCATTTCAATAAAAAGCTTAAACTTATTGGTTGAAACCCAAGATCGATTTATATATTCTACTACTTTTTTTTTAAAAGTACAAAGAAAAATCTTGACTAAAGTTAACCCACATGGATTTTTATTTTTTATTTTTTTCTGAAATATGAGGGTCAGGTATGTATTTAAAAGTCTGGGAGAAAGAGGTAAGGAGATCCCCGACCCAACACTAAATATTGTCAGTTGATAAGATTTGAACCTCATACCATACAATTTGAACCTCATATCTCTACGATATGAGGTAAGGCTCTTACTAGTTAATCAAGCCAGTCTTGCTTAAGAGATTTTTTTTTTTCCTAATTGTGCACTCCTAATAATCATGAATAAAAAAAAATAAATTAAAAAGGTAATTAATGAGAGAAAATTTTGATCTATGTGTATTGATTATTTTTATTTTTAATTTGCATTTCATCATAGGCTTTAATTTTTGGATGCAAATAAAGATGACTTACCATTATCGGTGTTGTTAATGTTATTGAGGCTGTGTTGTTCATGTATGAATATACTAGGGATTTTAGTTATCCCAGCATCAACAAGGCCCTTGACTCCAGTTTTCGAGTCTTCGAAAGCCTTGATCTCAGCCTCTCGATCACAATCCTGTTCGGAGACCATTTTTAGAGAAGATACAGATTATGGAAAGATTGGTAATGAAGAAATGCTCAAAACTTCACAATGTATTAACTTGTACAATTTTTTGACCTGATATATATACAAGTACAAATGAAGAAATTTTGATTACAAAATTAGCAAGAATGAGTATATATATTATGTATTTGAAAGTTATTTACAATATTATATCAATCAATGAGAAGTTCACGTGAATAGCATGATGATTAAAGAATTATTTTTTTTACGAGAAAGTAGAGGAAAGATATAGTAAATACTAAATTAAAGTAATTATGTCAACAGATTAGTTAGGATGAGCACAGAATAAAGTTATAAAACTATACTTTTATTCAAGAGAATTAAACCCCAAATCATGCAAATTACCATATAATTGTATATACTCATGGCAATTTGTACAGCAATACCAAATTGAAGTATTAGTCCTCCCTTTTTTTTCAATCTGACCAAATTCCACTGAGGCGGAGCCACAAACTTGCAAAGGTTGAGAACGACAGGCCGTTGAGTTGCAGGTTGAGTGAGAACAACTAGTGAAGTGCTAATTGTAAGGACAAAGCATGAGAAAATGATAGACTAAAATTTAGAGGAGAGAGAAAGTTAGAGGTTGATGATAGAGAAGAGGAGAGAGAAAGAGAGTCGGGTTGGGAGGGGGGGCGTCTGAGGGATTTATATTGGGGGTCTCAAACTTTAGGGTTTGGTATGTGTTATAACATGTACAGTAAAAATAATACGGTATATTGAGTGTTTGGGTCCAATTCGGTCCACCTAATTGAAGCTAGTCCAAATAACTCAACTCAAGCTCAAAGCAAGGTTCAACCCTCCAAAAGCATACTAAGGTCGATAAAAGCCCAGTCAATGTGGTCGGCCCACTTGACTTCAAAGGCCCACCTCTCCTCAATTGAGTCAAGGTATAAAAGTCATCAATTACATATATTTACATTCATGCAACTAAAAGCCTCAAGCACAAAATCTCTTGCATAACACTCTCTCTCAATTGAACTGACTTTAACATCGGAGGGGCCTTCCTCGGCAACCACCCCCAAGGTTAGTTTACGTGTTCTTTGCTGTGCAGGAAATCCTCGGCTCCAATATCCTTTAGACCGAGACCAGTCTTCTCCACCTCTAAAGGGCCACCTGAAGGCCCCATTGTTTTCATACCGAAACAATTTGGCGCCGTCTGTGGGGAAGATACAAAAAATCACGCCAAAATATCCATCACTCCTAGTGAAAACATGACTAAGAGTGGAAAAAGCATCAAACGTGCTAGAAAGAGGGGCGGTCCTACCCCCTCAAGGAGGAGTAGGGACATGATCACGGTGAGGGAACATCAGCTGATGTCCCCGTCACCAGAGCCATCCTCTCCTTCCTCAAGAGCTCCCGATTCTCAGGAAAGGGAGGCCTCAAGAGCTCCCAGTTCTCAGGAAAGGGAAGCTTCAAGAGACTCACCCTCGCACCATACTCGACAGCCAACAGTTTCGCCTAGGCCGAGTGGGTCTAATGCGAGGAGCCCTCCGCCACACAACAGCTGGCATTCTCGGTCCCAGCCGAAAGAAACCCCTCCTTCGGGGCCCTCTACGGAGGAAGTGGCTAGGGCCGTGGCGGTTTGCGGCATGGAGTTCCTTAAGGCCCAAGGGGCTCAACTCTAACTAACACCTCCCGAGTCTCCATCCCTTTAGCCGAGACATCTAAGAAGGAGAATCGGTCAAGAGAAGAACGGACAAGTTCCATCCTACCAGGAGCTCGGGAAAAAGTGGTAGGAGGACACATGGAACACCAGCAAGGAAAGGAAGAAGAACCCACAATTCTTCGACCATTCCGGAACTCGGAACACAATGAGTTTCCAAAGCAGCAATACTACCTACTACCTCCGCATACACGAAGTCTGCTCGCCGAAGCGTTCACGAACGCTTAGGCTTAGGGGAGGTGAATGTGCATAGCCGCCTCACCTTCCCAGAAGAGACCGGGTCATACCCCGAATTGTCTCGGCCAGGGACGAAAACCACTTCCACCTCTCTGAGAGGGAGGAGCGAGGTCCCTTCGGCCAGGCATAAGGGGAAGGCCGTAATGGTCCCTACAAGCTCACCCTTCGAAAGTTGGATATTGGAAGAGCATGTGCCAACAGTGAAAATACTGGCGCACATTAACTACGATGGCACCTCGGACCCGAAGGATCACATTGCTTCTTACGAGGGGCACATCTTAACCCCAGGTCCAAGGCTACCTGGTGTAAGTATTTTCCAACAACCCTTAAAGGTGTTGCACAATCGTGGATCACCAAAGGGGTAAAAGAAGGCTCTATCTCAGGTTGGAATGACCTTTCAACAAATTCAAGAGCAAATTTTCTACGGCTAATCGCCGAGAAAAGACAATTGCAGAACTAATGAGTCTGCAGCAAGCCGTGGATGAAAGTCTCCGCGACTATCTGACTCGCTTCAACAACGAGTCGTCCAGAATTACAAGTCTGGACCAAGGCCTTTCCGTATCGCACTACGGAATAGTCTGCAAGTTGGAAAGTTCCTTGACTTCATGGTCATGCATCCCCCGCAGACCTTAGAGGAAGCTTTGGATGCCTCGGATAAGTTCATCCGAGCTGAAGAATTGAACAAGGCAAAATCTTAGTCCCAATCAGGGGCTGGGAGATCGAAAGGACAACTGTCCGAGGGCCCGGCATCGAGGAAAGGGAAGGCCAAGGCCTCAGAACCGTCCTCGGCTGCCGAGCCGAAGAAAGTGAAGTTTGTCCCCTACGCGGGGAGATATGACTCATACACTCCCCTAACTCTTCCTCGCGCTAAAATTTACAGCACGACAAGGGATGAGGGGAGATTCAAGAAGCCTCAGCAGCTGCCACCATGGCATCAGCAAAAGGACAAGGACCGATGGTGCGAGTTCCATGAGTCTCTTGGACATCGCACCGAGGACTGCCTCTAGCTGAAGGACCAGATCGAAGAGCTGGTTCGAAAAGGCTACTTGAAGAAATACCTCGCGGATCATCGCGAGGAGAAAAAAGCCGAGAGAGACTCTCGACAAGATCTGGATTTTCTCCGGAAAAAAGACAAGCAGCAGGACAAGGACACCCTTGACATCCTTGCTATTTCCGGGGGAACTTCTCGAAGCGCAGTAAAACGCCACTTGAGGGGTTTAACCCATCAAGTAATTCATGCCAAGCTTCGAACGTCTCACTCTCCGGTGCCGAACATCCTGTTCACAACCGAAGACTGTGAGGGGGTGGTGTACCCCCATGATAACCCATTGGTAATAGTGATGGGCATCGCAAACCACAACGTCTGCCGAACACTCTTCGACGGTGGCAGCGGGGCGAATATCCTCTTTCGGGGAGCATTCGACCAGCTGAAGATGGAAGCCAAGCACCTAACTCCGATACCCTACCCGGTATCCGGATTCAATGGCTCTTCATCATATCCAGATGGGAAAGGCCGAGCATTGCGGAGCATCATGGATGAATTTCTAGTCGTGGATGCTCCCTCTGTGTATAACGTGATCATGGGGAGACCCCTCATTCACGACATTCAAGGAATTGTCTTGACGTACCATTAAACGATGATATATGTTTCGGACGAAGGACGCTCTGAAAAAATAAAGGGCAACCAAAAGGAAGCTCGAAGATGTAACCACCTCAGGCCATCCAAGGGTCGCTGCAGCGACCGGAATGATGAGGAGGAGAAAGAGCGGGACCGTAGCGCGAGAAAGCCTAAAGGCTTAAATGCTTCGGCCCAAGGAACCCCAGCCAAAGAAAAATCTTCAAGGGGTGAAAGGGCTAGTTCTTCATCTGAGCCGAGAGACTCAGAAGATCAGCCGAAGTCTGGAAAGCCTGCTGATATTGACAGCAAGCCGGAATCCGAGGAATCCAGTGCCAAAGCTATGGAACTGGATAATCAGACAGAGTCAATAGAGTTGGCCAAAGGAAATTCTGAAAGGTGTGTCAACATCGGACTGGGACTTTAGCCAAACGTTCGTGCTGAACTAATCCAACTCCTTCGGGACAACGGAGATGTGTTCGCATTCTCGGCAGCAGAATTGCCTGGGATTGATCCGAACCTCATCTCTCATAAGCTTAATGTCGACCCATTAAGAAGAAAAAGCGGAACTACTCCGCGCAGAAGAATCAAGACATCGCAGCCGAAGTAAAAAAACTCTTGGATGTTGGGTTCATCGAACTTTGTCAGTATCCGGAGTGGCTGGCCAATGTGGCGATGGTTCAGAAGGCGAATGGTAGCTGAAGAATGTGCGTAGACTTCACGAATCTGAATAAGGCATGTCCGAAAGACTTCTATCCCTTGTCGAGGATCGATCAGCTAGTCGATTCGACAAGCGGCCATGCCCTGCTCAGCTTCATGGACGCATTTTCTGGATACCATCAGATCTTCATGCACCCCGACGGCCGAGCAAAAACGACATTCGTTTCAAGTTCTGGGGTATACAGTTACAAAATGATGCCCTTCAGATTGAAAAATGTGGGGGCATCATATCAAAGGCTGGTTGATCAGGTGTTCGCTGAGCAAAAAGGCCGTAATATGAAAATCTATGTTGACGATTCCATCGTCAAAAGCAAAGAGGAAAAGGACCATGTTACGGACCCTGCTAAAACCTTCACCACCCTTCGCAAACATCAAATGAAGCAGAATCCGAAGAAATGTGTCTTCGGCGTGAAGTCAGGCAAGTTCCTCGGCTTCATGGTCAGTAAAAGGGGGATTGATGCTACTCCCGCCAAAAGTACAAGCAGCTCTCGATCTCCCTGAGCCGATGACAAGGAGGGATTTTCAGCGCCTAACTGGCAGAATGGCTGCTCTGTCCAAGTTTATCTCAAAAGCCTCGGACAAAGGGCTACCTTTCTTCAAAGAGCTCAAACTCCCAAAATCAAAAGAGCTCAGCTGGGGAGACGAGCAAAAGCAAGCCTTTCAGCAACTCCACGAGCACTTGGCTCAACTCCCAACACTGGAAAGACCAGCTGAAGGAGAAACTCTGTACTTATATGTGGCGGTTAGTCCGGCTACAGTAAGCGCGGTGTTGCTAAGGGAAGAAGAAAAAGTTCAGAAGCCGATCTATTTTGTCAGCCACACTCTGATAGATGCCGAGACACTCTACCCCCTACTCGAAAAAGTTACATACGC